CCAGGATGGTCTCGATCTCTTGACCTCGTGATCCACCCACCTCGGCCTCCCAAAGTGCTGGGATTACAGGCGTGAGCCACCGCGCCCGGCCACCCGGCTAATTTTTGTATTTTTAGTAGAGACAAGGATTCACCATGCTGGCCAGGCTGGTCTCAAACTCCTGACTTCAAATGATCCGCCCTCCTTGGCCTCCCAAAGTGCTGGGATTACAGGCGGGAGCCACCGCACCCGGCCCTAACTTATAAATTAGTCACAGTGAGAGATTAAAAACAATAATCATAAAATAGAGCAATTATAACAAATGCCAGCATCACTACTCTTGTGCTTTGGGGCCATTATTAAGTCAAATAAGGGTTAGACAAACAGGAGCACAGTAACACCGAGGCAGTCGGTCTGATGGCCGAGATGGCCACTAAGTGACTAAGTGACTCAGGGAGGGGAGTGTGGACAGCGTGCAGGTGCGAGACTTCATCACGCTACTCAGAACAGCATGCAATTTAAAACGTATGAGTTGTTTATTTCTGGAATTTTCCATGTACTGTTTTTGGTTGACTGCAGATCAGGAGGGACTACTACACACTTAAAAGGGCCCCAGTTCCACGATGAAACCCTCAGGCTGAGCGGAAAGACTGGGACAAACAAAATCCCCAAGGCACTGAGGTTCTGTCCCTAATTTCAAGCCCTGTTGCCTCTACACCTCACTCATAACCCACCGCAACTTCGCCTGGATCCAGAGAGCCCTGAAGAGCTCCTGGCTGGGTGCGGTCGCTCATGCCTGTCATCCCAGCACTTTGGGAGGGAAAGTGAGAGGATCACCTGAGGTTGGGAGTTCAAGACCATCCTGACCAACTTGGAGAAATCCCCGTCTCTATTAAAAATACAAAATTAGCCGAGCATGGTGGCACATGCCTGCAATCTCTCAGGAGGCCGAGACAGGAGAATCGCTTGTACCTGGGAGGCAGAGGTTGCAGTGAGCCGAGATTGCGCCACTGCACTCCAGCCTGCGAAACAAGAGTAAAACTCTGTCTCAAAAAAAAAAAAAAAAATTTCTCAATGCAAGGCCGCTCATCATCTGGGACATGAACATGGACAAGCACCTGGTCAGGAAAGGGAGGCCTCACTGCTCCCACCCCTGCAGAAGTAGTAAAGGCCAGATCCGGGTCCCTAGCTCAGCCTTTTGCAACACCTGTTTTTCAATTAGTAAGATGGAGAGAATGGTCATAAAGCATCATGAGTCCCGGTCGACGGGGACACTCAGTCAAGTAGGAGCACAAGGACTTCTGCCACAGCCAGGAGTATCTGGTGGTTCCAACGGCCCCCTGACAAAACTCTTTTATGTAATAGTCCAAGTCAAAGAAAATGTTTTCCATTGTGAAAACCTGCAGAGGACAAAAGTTCTCAGGAAAGATGCTCAGGCTGACGGGGACCAACCCAGATAAAATCCAGGTTTGCCAAGCTAGGCCATTTCACTTGGGAGGCCAATTTGTCCAGTCTCCATGCTGGGTGGCATCCCACCCAGAGACACTGTGCCTCCCCCATGTGGCTTTAGGAAATTCCCGCCGTTTGGAGATTGGTGCCCTGATGGCTCGTAGCAGCCCCCTATCCTGAAGAGAGCGGGTGGCTAAAGGAGCCACAGCCTAAAAAGGCAGCCTACATTTCCGGGCAGGTGTTTCTGATTTTTCCCAAAGAGGAGCCACCTGTGATTTCCCACAGGTCTGTGCTCTTTGCAGGGCCCTCAGGAGGGCAGGTTTGGGGTGACTGGGGCAGGACAAGGAGCTGAAGTTGTGAGCTGCTGCAGGGGGCGGGGATGTCCCCAAGCCTGACAAGTCCTCACCTTCTGGGGCTTCAGGACCTCCAGATCCCTGAGAAGTGAAAGCTGCTTCTCATCTCTGGCCAGGACTCGAAGAACCTGGTCCCTAGAAAAACACAGAGGGGGCAGAGGAAGCTGCGGAGAAGGATCCCTGGAAGGCTGTGTGTGTCATTTGGATGGAGCCGAGTGGAGCATAGGCCCAGCTGAGGGCGCCTGGCAGGAAGGCCAGGAGGCTTCTTGAGCGGGGGCTGAAGGAGCCCTGAGCAGGCAGGATGCGCAGGCAGCCCTGAGAAGCACGTGTTCCCTCAGCCTAGAGTCAGTAAGCTCTCCAGCCCCCAGGACAGACCACCCAGAGGCTAGATAAAGCTTGTCAGTGCTACTGATGGACTGAAGGCCAAGCCAGGGGAAGAAGGAATGGACAGGAATGTGGAGGGAGTGGTGTGTGGAACTGAAGGCATGAGGGGGAGAAAGGAATGGACACGGGGCTGCGGGGACCAATGGTGGCCCCAAAGGCTCTTCACATGGGCGCCCCAAGGCCATGGTCTGTCTCAACGCTGGGAAGGTGAGATCAGATAACCTCACCTCACCTGACAGGGAGGAAGTTGAGCTCCTTCCCTTGCCAGTGGAGGCAGGTGGGAGGTGGGGTAACCAAGAGTCCCGTGGTGTGCGGTACGACGCCTGGGATGGGGTTGGTGCCCTTGCTGGCTGGCTCTGAGACCGTGGGTGAAGAATTCCCTCTCTACGCTTGCTGTGCCTCCTCTTCTCTACTGTGGAGTGCCGTGAGGCATCCAGCTCAGGACCTCGGGGAGGCTCAAAGCACATCCACAGAGGGCCTGGCATGTGATTTACTAGAACTTCCCGTCATCCATTTTTGGTAAGGAACGTAGTCTTGTGCGGGCTACAACTTCTTTGAGAATTGGAGGAAAGCTATGAATGCTTCCTCCCCAAAGAAGCCCCCACTGTATAGGAAAATCATTGCATGTGGTTTCAGGGGATCTTGGAGCCCCGGGGGCCTCCTCCTGGACTCTGGATTTGGGGAGGACTGCCAAGCAGCTAGCCCTGGAGCATGAGAGTGGGAGACTGCAGAGCTGCAAGTGGGTTCAGGACAGGAACCCACATCCTGACTCTCTGCCTCCATCAGGCACCAGTGGGGCGGCCACCTCCTGCTGGGACATCCGGTCCCCTCCTCCCTCCTGCTGCCGGGCAGCCACTCACCCTGTGAAATTCATTTGGCCCAAAGCCACTGCCAGGGTAAAGCTGAAGATCAGGAGCATCTGCCTGTCCACGGGGGACGGTCCAGGGCGCGTCCCTCCTCCAGGGATGCCCTGCATGCTTATTCCTCCTGGAGAGCTTCAGGGACTTTCCTTGTGCACCATGGCCCAGGCCTCAGGACAGCGCAGTACCTACAGACTGGAAGCCCGACCCAAGAATGAGCATTAGGCTCTCTGGGGGACCCAGCATGTGGCCCCCACATGCCAGGCCTTGGGAGAGCCAGAGCTGCCCCTCCCCAACCCAGCACATCCTCTCATGGGAAGGGGAGAGGGAGGAGAGAAGGAGGAAGACAGGCCCTTCGCTTTTCTTTTCTCTCGGGAGGTTTGCCAGGCCAGCCCTTTCTGAGCAACAAAGCCTCCATCTCTGGAGAAAGACCAGAGTAGCCAGCAGCCCTGGGACACCCCTTCTTTCCTCCTCCTCCATGGCATGCTCTCTTTTGCGCTTGTTCTCCCCACGACTCAGTCACTTTCCCTGTGCCATATCCTCCTTACACATAAGGGTGTGACGCCATTGCAAGACAGCTGGGCTTACAGACAGAGACTGGGAATTCACTTCCCGTCTAAAAGATCTGGAGCAGCCACCCTAATCTCTCTAAATCTCAGTTTACTCATCCATCAAATGGGGTTAATCATACCTCCCCTCCCTAGCTCACAGGGTTTAGTGGGGTATTAGATGAGACAACTTGAGTGAATTGGCTTGGTAAAGCCTGCAAAATGCAATGTGTTATTATTTCAAAAGCATTCACTCTTAGTCACAGCCGCATTTGAGGTCAGCCCTCCAACGAAGAGAAGGGGAAGAGAAGAGAACAAAGGAAATAACTATATATTGTCTGAGAAGGAATTCAATCAAGATTCCCTTTTCTCTATCTTCAGGTGGTCACCATTGTGCTAGCACAGATCGTGCGTTTTCTGCTAGACACGAAGGTCACCGCAGTCATTATTATAGTTCTCAACAGACAGCAGAGTCAATTTCTCAGTCCTGCTGAAGCCCCACACAGTTCCCTTTACAGTCTGGGAATCGCAGAAGTAAAGCAGGGGCCAGCACACAAAGCAGTCATATTGGAAGGAGAACGTGAAAGATGATGCCTGAATGGCAAATGATGAATCTAACAGAAAATCCACAGGGGGTGGGGGAAAGGCAGAGACTGAATCCAACCAAGTCGTTCAGCAGACAACGTCAACAAAAGGCCACTTAACTGTCACCGGCGATTCTCAGAAGCCCCCCTCCCCAGCCATACTATCCCAGAATGGCCAATTAACTGGCCATGTGTGCAGGGAAGGGAGCTCTTTTATCGACAGAATGCACGGTTCCCCCGCCCGCCTACCCTACTCCATTATTTTGTAGTTCAGCTGTTCAGACACGCCAGACTCTCCTAGAACCCTGGCTTTGGGGACTCTCAAACAGCAAAGTTTGCAAAGGGTTTAAGGACCTAGAAAAGAAAGCAGTTACGCTTTCCACCCAAGTAACATTCAGCTTCAGTAGCAATGGAAATAAAAGGGAATTTCAAAGGAAAAAAATGGAGATGGTGCTAGTCACCAAAAGAACCCAGCGCCTTCTCGTTCAAAAACATCATTTTAAGCCACTAATAATGAGGCAACTATCCCTGTACTTGGCTTAAGGGTGGGAATAGAGTGAGAGAGCAAGAATGAGGGCAAGAGAGAGAGAGAGAAGCAGTTAGGAATTTTTGAGAATTCTATGACACAGCTTCCAATGGAACTTTCTGTGACAATGGAAATGTTCTGTGTCCAAGAGGATAGCCACTAACCACTTGAAATGTGGCTAGTGTGACTGACAAACTGAGTTTGGGGTTTTATTTAACTTTAATTAATTTAAATAAAGTTTAAATAGCCACATGTGGCTACCATACTGGACAGCAGAGTTCTACGGGAATTCACCAACCCTGAAAGAACCATCTCCAATGGCTGGATTTGTTTTTGGTTTTTCTTCCTCTAAGTTCATGTTAGACGGGTAATGTGCTGACATCGTAACAAGGTTTGAGGGTGACACATCTCACACATGCGTGCGTGAGCACCCAATTATGCTTATGAACTACAATTACCAGCTTATGGCTGGGTTTGAAGCAGACACATAGCTATGCTTGACCTAATACCTCATGTTGGCTTTTCATTCATAATTAATTATTCAGCTAATCATTTACTCAGTAAATTTCCGCTAAATACCTACTATGTGCCAGGCCCTTACTAAAGTCTGGAAGTAAAATAGAAAGCAACACATACCTGGCCCTTACATTTCTAAAGGGGTAAGTAGACCATGAATTTAAGTAGCATGCAGATAATGAGTGACCTGGAGACATAATGGTAGCCCATCTGACTCCAGATAAGTGTAAAAATATAGCTGGTGTTTGTGCTACAAGGGAAAGGTGCATCGTACCATGTGGATGGTCACATGGGCTCCATATAGACTGAAGGAGAGTTTCCTTCAATTAGAAATTTTATTGGAAGGCTTTTATTTCCTGCAGGTGGGTGGGTTAGATACCTAAGCAATCCTATCCAAATGAAAAACTCAAATGCAGGATAAAATATTTTTAGTAACAACTTTTTAAAGCCATCACTGGGTTGGCACAAAAATGAGAATCTACAGATCCCAAAAAGAAGGAAAAGCCAGGCAGACACCCAAGAGGTAAGCAAGCTTTGCCTCAGAGAACTCAGAATGCTGAAGGTTTTTATTTTCCTACTAGCATGTACCATGTATCTTGAATCATCTTCCCGCTGCTTCAAATCTATCTTTTCAAACCTTCCTTTAGTGAAGGTTTCTGTTTTTATTTATTTGAAAATTCTTGGCCAGGTGTGGCAGCTCATGCTGGTAATCCCAGTGCTTTGGGAGACCAAGGCAAGAGGGGCCCAGGAGTTTGCTTGACCCCAGGAGTCCAAGACCAGCCTGGGCAAGTCAGGGAGACCCTATCTCTGCAAAAATAAAATAAAATAAAATTAGCTGGGCATGGTGTAGCATGCAACTGTAGTCCTAGCTACTTGAGAAGCAAGCAGATCAATTGAGCCCAGGAGTTTGAGGCTGCAGTGAACCATACTCCAGCCTGGATGACAGAACAAAAAC